CAATCGATAAATTCGGTCTCGTTCTTCCAGGTTTAAGTGACCAGTATGCACAAGTGCTTTAAGGTCGTTTATTCTATTTTGTTAATTTTTTACATGTGGTCTCTCATATTTATTACTAGTATCGAGATCGAATTCCAGTGTTATGTATTGAAAGGGTAGAATTTCTCTAGGATCTATTTCACTTGTAACACATCGTCATGTCCTACGTGGACTCGTGGCAAGTATCTTTCAGTTCAGTTGGTATTAATTAAATTAATTTTTACTATTCGACGTGTTTGAGCCTTAATCATATATTTCGGTAATTTATAAGTGTATTTTTGTCCCTCATTAAGGCAATGTTCTTCCACACTAGAAGTCTTTTTATGATGGTTAATGGCATAGGGACAGAGTGTATTTTGGTTATCTGATTAATTTTTTTCGCTGTGTATGCCGAGGGCACTTTGTTTTTTTTTTAGAATTAAGGGTAGTAGCTAAAAGTTAATTCTCTGCGCTTGATTTTTAAGTTTTATTGCCATCTGTTTTTTTTTTGTCTTCTTTAAATTACTTCATTTTTTCAGAGGTTCTAAAAAGGAATGGGATTTATGACGTTGTAACGTCAGAGACACATATTTGAACCCCTTTTTCTTTTCGTTATTAATTATTCAGGGCAATGACTAAAATATATTTGATGATCGTTAAAATTTAAACGTTTAGAACTAGATGTCTCTGACTACGCAGCTCTGTAAACTATGTACAAATACAAAAGGATAAGCCATTGTGAAGACAGAGACACCCTCTTCGTATCTGTCCAGAACAGCATAACTCCGCTCATGCCTTTTGGACTATAAATTATAAAGTCAATTATCGCCTAAAAACTGCGATGTCAACAGACAGGAACAAATATTTATGTAAAAAAAGGGGTTACTAATTTGTAATAGACTGTAGAATCACTCAATTGGAGCTAATCCAGTTTAAACAATCAGATTTTTATCATTATTTTTTCAACAGCTTAATTCACTTAAATTGTTTGTACGAATCATTCCACCCTTAGATTTACAAATTCCGGTAAAAAAAATGATACTTATTCAAACTTTGTAAGGGAAAGCTAAATGCAACAGGATAAGAAAAGAAAGACGCTCCGCTTTCTAACGTTGCAAGCAAGACAGTGGAAACTTGAAGAAGCCTTGATTGAAGAACTAACCATTAACGTTTTCCTGTCAAACCTCATAGACAGCAAGGTGTTGGAACCATATAAAAGACCATGCGTTTGGAAAAGAAATCAGAGATCTTGTCTGAAGACAAACTCTCTTTTTTTTCTTATTTTTCATTTTCTATGACCATTCAATCCGTAAAACTAGGTGCGATTTCGTAATCTTACAATAGAATTCATAAAACTACTCGTACTAGCGAACTAGAGTAATGGCCAACGGGACCCCATGATCTAAGTTCCTCTCCAATATATGTGTGGCTAAACTTCGAAACTATCTAACCCTAACCAACGGCAACACAGTGGAAAGCTCGAACGCATATACAGGACGTCGTAGTAGAGAAGAAGCTCACCTCTTTGCCTACTATAACTGTTGTTGTTTGATTATCATCTTCATGTATACATTACTGCTAAGATAGCTCAATCCCACGCAGAAGGCAGACCCAACGGGAAGCCGGATAGAGTACACGTGACAGAAGCAGTGTAGCACATACTTCTGATCAAAACATAAGTATCAACCACAGTACCTTTACTCGATTGCAATAGTATTCTTTAATCCTTATAATCTTTTAAGCTATTAGGCGCAAGCTTAGGCCTAAAAGTCATTATACTTGAGTTGCGTCCTTCCAATGTAACAACGTCATTATCTAATACCATGGCATCATGATAATACGATAATGTGGCTCGTTATTCTCTACTAAGGTTTTGACGTAACAGACACAATGGGTCTTATTTTATCAAGTTCATGGCAGCGCCATCATCAAGCATAAGTTAAATAAAGCGATTTATTCCTTTTAGAACAAACAAACTCATGTTTGCAGGCTCGTCATCTACGCCAAGTCCCTTGCATAAACCGATATGGACTGTTTTGATTCTGTTGCTATATTTATTTATTATTTGCACTGAAACATTTAGTGTAGGTATTGAATTTAGTCTTTGAGGGCTCATATTCAAACAATGTGAGGGTGAGCTACCTAAGAGTTTAAATAATAAGGAAAACAGTCATTCCCTGGTTGGTACTGATTTCGGAAATAATGCTTAAAATTCTTTTGGTTATAATTATCATAATTATAATTTTAGGGATATCTATTATAATTCTGACCTATGCCCCGATATCCGTGATAATTTGTAGAATTACAATTAGCATTTCATTAAGTATAAAAATCGTCAGGATTTTTGTTGTTATATCTTTTAAAATTATTCTGACAAAAATTGAGTTCCTTGACTGAATCTTAAAATTTCGATCCTCCCCTAGTTCTGATAATGTCCTCGGTGATTCAGCCTATCGCTATATTGTTAATGTTGTCTATTATTATTTTTTTAGTAATTATTGTACTGTCCATTAGCATTTCGATTTTAATTGTTAATTTGGCATTCGTTAACTTGTCCTATTCAAAGCGATTATAGTATCTGATCGCAATACCTATTCTGCTGTTGATATAATTTATTTAAATTATTTCTAAGATCACTGCCAGGTAATCCTTGGTATTGTGGGTCCAGAATTGTACCCACTCTCATTTGGCTCCCCAATCTCAATGCATAATTGAAGGCATCTGCTAGGGTATCAGGTTCTTTTACATCTTTCTGCTGGTTTATTATAGGTGCTATTTTTTTTATAAACATGTCCAGCATCATGTCCCTTATTGGGGTCATCATATTCGCGTTGTATATATTGCTCTTATCTTTAATCAGAGCCTTTTTAGCATCGCTTAGCAGTAGGTCTACATGATCATAATATTCGCCCAGCGATCGGCATTGTCGTTGATGCACTTTCTGTAGCTAAGTTTGATGGTAAGCAACGGTTTTTTCTGTCGCATATATTTTTTAAAAAATGTGTTATAAATTCCTTAAGGTTTTCGAAGTCTTGGCTGCTTACGCTTATACGTCCATCACCTGTAAAATTTTGTAAAACTATCTTTTTCTATAGATTTATTTGATCGTCTTTTACCCAACCATCTTTTTTCTTTACATGTTTAATTTAGTCTTTGAGCAGAATATTATCTCATCCTGAATGGAAATACATTTAATTGCATATTACAGCGAGAACTTGGCATTAAGAGACTCTATCAGCGTTGTAGCTACTGTCATATCCACATCATCTTGGTTATCATGTTTTTTGACCATTTTTAACGTTTAGTTATTATCTTTATTAAAGAGTTTGTTTTGTGTTATTTTCTTACTTACTTTTATACTATATTATATCTGCAAGTGTAACATCTGAATAAAATTTACAGGAGTTCAACTACTTTCTCTTGCTTTAATTATATTTTCCAACCTCGGGCGTTTTTGAGGGTCGGGTGTGCCTTCGGTAGGAAAAAAAGGATTCGTCACATAAGTGTCATCGCTTCATGGCTACCTTACGTCCTTTGGGCCCTACTTTGCAGGTCGCTCAGGCCACAAAATGGCCCTGGAGACGACGGCACTTATCCGATGAAAACTACTATTTCTTACCATGGGCACAAAGTGCAACTGTCGGTTTGCGCCCTCGGAACACACTTTGCACCCTTATAATTACTTTAGGCCCACAAGTAGAAAAGTTTTTTACGCCCTTCGGGCCCAAAGTACTTTTCTGCCCTAAGGCCTCAAGTGATTTACTGGGCACAAAGTGTGCCCACTGGCGCAAAATTACACTGTGCGCCCTCGGTAAGAAAAACATTATACGCGACTTGGGCACCAACCTACAACAAGCGCACCCTTTAGAAGCTTATGTTTGTACTTGTTGCCCTTGTGACGTAATGTACCATTTATCATGTTAAAAAAAAAATTTATTTATTTTTATTTCATTTTATTTTATCCATTTGTCTCAATCTAATTTTTCATTAAATTCTTGTCATGCATTATAGAAGACACAAAGAATAAAGAAACAAAGAAATAGTAAGATACACACACGCACACAACCGTATACATATGTATATAATGTATATGTGTGTAGTAACATTTTTTATTTGAAATTCAGTTTATTATGCCAAGAGCATCTCACCCGAATGGCAATTTTGAAAACACAAACTATTTATATTTGTATTGTACTTGGGTCAAATGCTTTCACCCATTAAAATTTAAGCATCTTACAATATTTTAATTGCATCATGCATTTTACATTGTATACTTGTGTATTGAGTGTATATTAAGACAACTAATTTCTTATTTCTTTAGAATTATTAAGTGAACAATTTTATTTTATTCTTTTGTTAGTTAAACAGTTTCATTTTCTCGTTTAATGATTAATGTATTATTTTTTTTATATTTACAAAACACCACATATAGTATGCTTTTTGCAAAGGCACAGCATATACACGCTTGCGCACACTGCACTGCATGGGGCGTTCTACGTTATTCATTTACATGTTTCTTTGAAATGTGTTTATTCTTTTTTTTTTAAATAATAATAAGGGAACGTAGCATGAATAAACAAATATTTAGTAACCACAGCTATGCTCTGATATCATTTATATCAAGAATGCTGCCCTGTGGTTTATTAAGGGGATATGTAAATGGGAGCACGTAACGCCCGTCTATAAAAAGTACTCTTTCCTTAGATTTAAAGATGGTATTGGCTATATGATCATCTGCCTTTTTGCCTCCATTCTGTACACTAGTGTTTCATCTTATTTGTGAGAGTTCTTCCAGTTAAGACCCGATTGCACCACCTTGGCTACAAGCACCAGCTCTCTTGATTTGGTTGTCTCCTGGGCTCGAACTGAACTGTATAAATTCAGCCGTACTATGCAAGCGGCTAGGCTGTTAAATGATATCCTTCCTACGATACTTACTAAATATGCATCCAGCTCATTTCAAAGCGATCTCATTATGCACTTCAAGTGGCAGCATCCTCATCTCTCACACTAGCTTTAACTGTCAGTGTCCTAGCGTTCTGCTGTTTAGCGATCTGGTACTTTTTATGTGTCCACTTTTGGTTAAGCTTATTGATACTTCGTTTTTAGTTTTATTTTATTTTATTTTTTTTTTAATTTGATTATTTTTGTTATTGGTTCAATTATTTTTACTTCCTTCTTTTTTTTAAAAGAAACATGGCAGATAGTAACATTAAATGTTAATAAACAATACTGATTGTTAAATTCTTATGTACTATTAAATTTTTTATTAATGGTAAGTGTATGTTTAATTCAAGCTTATATTGCGTGAAAGATATAATTTCTTCTTTATGTGCGATCTTTTTTGAACCTATTCTGTACTTTTAAATATACGTTTATGATGTAATAGTATGTATACCTAATAATAAAGCTGACAATACTTTAAATATTCTTACTTTTCTTCAAACATATTTCATTTAAAATAGAAAAACTAAAATGAAATTTTCTTAACTTTTAAGTTCATACATTATATTAAAATAATACAGAAAATGTGACTACCAATTAGTTTAAAAAAAAATGGGCATTAAAATATTTATTAAAGTTTGTTTTTCACATTCTTCTGCGTTACAAGCGATTGGTATCGTTTTGCTACTAATTGACCGAGCTATTAATCTTGCTAATTCTCTTTTCCCCAAAAAACTTTTTTTTAAAGTCGTTATTTTACAGGCAAATAAGTATTTGAGGAAAGTTGTAGACAAGTATGTAAGACTATAATTAAACTAGATTAAGTACCATTCAGCAAACTTTGAAAGAATAAAAAAGTTTGAGTTAACACAAAAAAAATAACACACTAAAGCAGTAGAAGCAAAAGAAGATTACTATTCATTCTTTTAAGTGTAAACATTATGGTTAATGCTATAAAGGTCAAAGTAAAAAAAAATTTCCATAAAGAATTGCAAAACATAAAAAAGTTTCAGCAGCTTATATGCACATCAAAAATAGCAATTACGCCTATGATTTAGACTCGGTGCGAGTAGTGGACTGAATATCTTTTTTATTAAAGATTGGTGACACAAATAGTGGAAAGAAGAAAACTTTATTATCTAAATACAATTAGAGATACAAATAACTTAAGCAAATTTTAGAAATATTTCGTAAAACACTAAGTTAAAGTTAAAGAATAGTTCTTGATATCATACTCATCACGTAAAACTTTCAAAGTCACGCTTTTTTGTACTTTTTTCTTGTGTATTACGTGTTGTGTATTATCTTAATGATTATACTCTAACATTACGCGTATAAATTTCATATTTTTTTTTAATACAACAACAAGAAAAAATGTAAATTATATTTCTATTATTGACTTTACTCAGTGATCATATTTTTCTCCTAGTAAATTTTTTGCTTTATTTTACTGTCTAAAAAAATACTGATCAGTAAGGTTAATATGATGACATTTTCACTTGTTTTTGTTTGATTGAGTAATCTTAAAAGAACTTTTAATGTGCAGTCAAAGCATTGGCAACAACAAAAGAAAAATAAAATTTTGGAAACCATTGCTCTCTAACTCGAATATTGTCTTCTTTACACTTGAATTTTTCGTTTTGCTACATGCTTACAGAATCAGTATGAATCTATTTTTATGAATCAAATTTTGTTTAGTTTTTAACGATTAACATAATGCTTACAGTTAGCATAAATGATTATATGTTAACGACACATGATTTTTTTTAGTATTTGTTATCCAACCATAGCATTCCAATAAAAAAAATAAGAGAGATATGAGTAGATCTACAAATTGTGATAACTTACTGATTTCTTATTTAAAATATTTTTTTAAATTTCTTTGGGGCATTACAAATATTAAAGTTGCACCTTATTCAACTGTCATCACTTAAATTTTTTTATCTTTTTTCTTATCCTCTGTACGTAGAAAATATATTTTGTAGTTTCATAACAATTGTGCGTTCACGATTCATAATAACTATCAGATTCACCTTTAAAATTTATTTTAAAGTTTTAATGTGATTTTTATCTACTGTCTGTATAATGTTAATACTTTTTTTATGGCCATAATTTTTTTAGGAATATATATTACTAACTTTTTGTTTAGGTAAAATATTCAATATTTTTATAAGTTCATATTAGAAGGCTAAAGCTAAGGGCGTCGTAGGGGCCCTTTTTATTAATATACATATAGATATATAAACATACTATACAATCTGCTACTACCAGATTATAACTGAATATATAAACATAATAATAATGTTACACTATATTTATTGTATCATACAATAAATATAGTGTAACATAATAATAATGTTACACTATATTTATTGTATCATACAATAAATATAGTGTAACATAATAATAATGTTACACTATATTTATTGTATCATACAAATTTATCATTTTTATATAAAAAAAAAAAAACTTAGCACTAAAATTTAGAACTTACAAATTACGTGAAAATGTTAAACGTTTGTTATTTTTAATGATAGATACTATCTATAGAACTATTTCTTTAACTTATTGATGTAAGCACTTCTTAAAATTTCATTAGTTGATTTTTATAAGAATGATTCAATTTTATACTATTTGTCATGTACGAAATGCTTAAAAAATTCAGTGATAAATTTGTGAATTTTTTTTTTTTAAAGCAATGTTCTAAGTTTAAGCTGTTTTCACTTTGCACCCCCACAATTTTTTCTTGCCTTCCATAGCTCGATAGAAACTTTTGTTCGTTTTGTTGCTTTTTTTTTATTATTTTTTGACATTTATTGCATCAAAATTATTTTTTCTTTTGAATTTTTCTGTGAATCACTATTTTATGTTCATTCGTATAAGTCATAAGACAGTATTAGAATAAGGAAGTGAAGAAACCTGGAAAATTTTTTTTCAGATTATTGACTTTTCTTCGTCCGTAAGCAATACGCTAAAATTTATCGAAAATTGTTTTTCAAAATCGAATGTAACTGCATATTTTACGTATTGTATATATATATATATTTATATAAATAAAGTTTTTCTTTATGATACAATATATTTAAATAATTGTTCTTCTACTTANTAACACGAAAATAATTAAATATTTAGTAATTTTCTCTATTTTTTAAACGAATTCTAACTACAGTTTATATGATAGAGTCTTGCAAGTAAAATACTCTAAAGAAATTGCCGATACTGTAAATTGCACGTCCAGTCTCAACAAAATATTGTTTTTTATTGATTAAAAAAATTGTTTTAATTAAGTTTTTTAATAGTTTAAAATCTTTATAAGAAATACATTCGGTTAAATAAATTGTTTTAAACACAAGTAATGCTTCAGAGAAGATTTTTAACATAGTTATATCTAAGTTTTAATACAGATAGAGATACACTATTTTAACCAAGACTCTAAGTGTCTTGAGTTTCCTGCTATGGAGTTCTTGTACGTATAAAAGCTATGTAAGTTATTTATATACTTTCTTAGACCAAAGTTCATTCTTCTGTGTCCAAACAAGTATATCTTTGATAATTTACCTTAATTTAAAATAAGTAAGACTGAAAAGAAAAAAAAAAAACATTTATAACGCTAAATTATGAATTAAACATGATATTGAACGAATCAAAAAGAGTAGACGTAGTTTAAATGTACAAGTTATCGTTTCTCCATTCAATTTTAGGCTTCAATTATTGTTTAATAAAAGAAGACTGCTTACTGGAACCAGGAATGGTGACGGCGGGCAGGACAAAAACGCCGCGAAGCTCGCGGTCCGCTTTCCCCAAAGTACCATTCTACAAAGTGGAAGAGGACCAAGAGAGACACGCAGGCAACCAGTGTCCCGACGGTTATCCCATCCCTGCTTCCAGCTAGAAAGGACTTCTATGTCTGAGTCGTTCTCCAGCCTCAGCCCCAGACCCCTCTAGCAAACTTGTTCCCCAGAATGCTCCGGGAGCAAACCCGTCCCCCTCGTTAGAGATAGATTTAGATATAGGTAGACTAAGAGGCAAGCATGTCAACCACTAAGCAATGAAATTTCTGTTCTTACAAATATACTGATAGAAACTATCATACTAACCACAATTTTTAATTAAAAAATCCTTACTGAACATTGTAAAGCATAATAATACTTATTAAAATTTAAAACAATGACACGAGAAAAAAGAGACTTACATAAAATATAGTTTTTTAAAGTCACATTCGAAAACATGTAAACATTACTGTTATGAGATTTAGTTTGAAAAAGCAAGGCAATCAAGTAACATAGTTAATTTTAAAGTATAGTTAATTTACATACTTGTATGACTGTTTATTTAACTCGTATGTAACGCAAAAAGAGCACAACATGTAATTAACTACTGCTTACAGAAGTAATCTCGTTTGTATAAAAGAAAACGTTATGCAGTTTCTTAAAATTCTTATCATCTAATTAATCAGAATTAAAGTATCTGCAATACTACTGACCATAATTAACATCACCATAGTTTATTACTTATAGTTCCAATTGAACCGGTCAATATTTAAATATAAATGTTATGATTGAAAATAAACCATACATACGTTTGAATAATATTTCAAAAAATTTGGAGGTTCCTCTTTCTTTTTTTCTGCAATTTTAGCTAACATGTATTGATACAGCCATCTTTCATCTTGTGGTTCATCAATAGCTTGACCGGTCAAATAAACGAGTTCAGCAGTTAAAAAGCAATCTCTTGATTCATCAAGCATTTCTTCTTTCTGGGTTTCAAAAGTTTTAAATTTTTCCATGCTCAAAGAATCACTTTCTTGTTTTAATAAGCGTGAGCAAAAAGAATGAACAGTATATAAGAAATGTCCAAATTCAGTCCATATAGTTACATGTAATGGTGATAATTTTACTGCTTGCTGATAACTTCGTCGGGATATTTTTGCTTTCATCAGATATTTTTCTTCATTTCTAGAAAAAATATAATTCAAAATTAATTTCACTACAAACAGTGGCACAAATAAAAATATATTATATAGACACGCGTTATTTTCTAAAATGCCAATTATAAAAAACTTAGAACGTATTAACTAAGATTTTAAGTGTCCAAAGAAAAAACCACTAAAGCTTCAGCGACAAATGCAGAAGAAAGTTGTACCCTCAATTTTGTTAATAAGTGTGCTTTGTGTTAAAAGAGTAACTCTTTTCAACTACAATTTTGCTGCCTTGCATTGTATGTACAATTTTTGACCTACGTCTGTATTATTATGCAACTCTTTTACTCTACTGACCTAAAAACATTAACGTTTAAGACATTAAGTGCTGCTAAAATTTTTTGTACTTAGTAAAACTGATGTCAACAAAACAAAATGTCAACACAATTTTTTCTTCTGCAATAATTTGTATTAAAAATGGTATATTTAATTTCGTCCGTGATGTTACCACACTGTGTTATGTTATCATCCACTAATAAGAAAAAAAAAAAACTAATTTAACTTTATATTTTAAAACAAGGATCACTCAAAAAACCATGGGGGCTAACAATAATGAAGGGTTGCTGCAGAAAAAAAATGAAATATCTCTTACTCGTTTAATATAATGAAGGCAGGTGACATTTTTTAAATTTTTATAAAGAAGCTGAAAGAAAGTCAAAATGCCAAAGTCTGTAAAACAGTAGACAAAGATTGTTTTTTTTTTGATACTGAAAAACTAAGATCGAATCGAATTCCAAAAAAACTAGTTTTTTAAGTTAGTATATAGGCACACAATCACGTTAAAAAAATTAAAAATCAAAAATAAATCTTTTTTTTTAATGCCAACCTCAATGGGCTCACTCAATCAAAAAAAAAACACTAAGTAAAGAAATTACTTTGCAGAATTAATTTTGTTACAAAGTTCTGACAGTTCTAACTTTACATAAATTAAATAGAAATAAAATACGATGAATTGCAGGATCAGAACAAAATACAGATAATTAATACAACATTGACGAATACTCACGTTTGTCTAAGCTTCATGTACATGTCAGCCAGCACCACTATGATTTTAACAAGCAATATTATTACGGTAACAACTTAACTTATAGTAGCCAATGCTAAAACTAACTTTCTCTTCCGAACGTATAACCGATAATATAATCCAAAAGTATAACTATGCAAGCGGCAGCACAACATGAAAACTGAGCCTATAGGCATATGCATCAGGTCAGACTCATTGTCATGAAACTATTGTAGTATTTAAAATCAAGCTGAGCGATCGGTGGCTCAGTCGGATAGGTCATGGGTCAGCACACCGGAGACCACGGCTCGATTCCCAACCATTGCGACTTTTTAAAGCAAGCACCACTGTGAATTTTCACATGTGCTCTTTCACCATGCAATGCTCCTCGAGGAGGGTTAAGGTGACCTTCTCACAGCAAAATTTTCCAATTTCCCCCTACCCCCTCCCAGTAATGGGAGGCCCCCCATCCCTCTTCCCTTCTTTTTTCCAAGTACTAAGTGCCCAGAGTCGTGCCCTTTTTAGAAGCCGGATATAAAGCACTATAATAAAAAATAAAAAAAATTATAATCAAGCATATCCATATACGTCACACTCACACTCACGTGCACGCTCACACACACATAAATTTTAACTATACACGCATGTACGCATGGACGTAAAAAATGCATATACGAGACTTTTTATATTATACAGTAATTTGTGTAGGTCTTTCCACAAATGCTTCAGCCACCCCTACTTCAACCACCACAGCTTCCCTAAGAAAGCCCCCACAGCCTCACTAAACAAGAAAAAATTTAATACATTTCGCCGTTGTTTTAACCGATTAAAATTTCTAATTAAACCCCTCACCTACCCTCTACCATCCTCAACCCATACGATTTCCTTGTTCCTCCGCATACCGTCACCACCCCCTTCATATACTATATTTCTTACCATCTGTGTTCTGAGTCAATACACACATACACGCACACACACACACACACACACACACACACACAAATTAAATAGTGTATATATATATAATGTATGTGTGTATGCATGTATATACACACACATATATACACACACACATATATATATATATATATNTATATATATATACAAATCAAAAATTTTCTAAAAATAGTATTTGTTAGCATTTTTTTCTTACAAAACGATAAAAATACATTGAGTATTTCAGAGGGTAGTAGTCACCATTATTTTTAAGATGAGAGGTTTCAATCTGAACTGTCATAAAGTACGGCGTAATGAAATTTTTTTTTTAAACTTCTTTTTCATCTCCATTCATTGAATGTTCGGTTTATGATAGGTTCTGACTTTGAACAGGCACAAAATAGTGCCCAAACATAAGAATACACAGTTTTACCGCTATGTTTTGGCATGAAAAAGTGTTAAATAAAAAATTATTTTACACTTTAAGGTTTTTGGGGTCGCTGATTACGAATTCTAGGTCCGATTTATAAAATTCAGAATAGTGGATCGGATACGGCAACCAACATTTTTCAAGACTTAGAATTTCTAAATTTTAAAAAGTACTATCAAATTATAAGCAAAAATTTACGTTTAAAACATAATTTTCAAAATTTTCTTTATCATCTTACGGATACAAATACATTGATTAAAAGGAAAATTTTCTATTAACTGCATCTCCACTACGTAAACGAAAAAAAATTTTCAAAAAAACAAAAAAACTTACATTATTATTACTTGTAGTTTTTAGAGTCAGTAATTACAAATCCAAGTTTCAAACTTAGAAATGGTGAATCTGATATGGCGACCAACATCTTTTAAATTTTCTAGTTTCTAAAGTTAAATAATCCTATCTGTTATTACGGAAAGTTTTAAATTAATCGTTTTTCAAATAAATAATCAAAGCAGACGTTTTCAAGAAAAGCATTTATCAGCTTTTTTTTCTCTTTGATACACGTATGTATAACGGATAATTCGGATCATTTGTCGTTGGACATGCTAGACCTATAAGTCGGAAACAATTGTTGTCATACTTACAGTGAAAGCAGGAGAATCCAAAAAAAAAGATTATGTTCCTACTTGATCAATACATCATTTAATTCGAATATGACCTTTTTATTTATTGTGTAATTAATTCTCTGTTTACTAAGTTACTGTATTAAACGTTTAAGGTATTGGTTATTCCTTTATTGAATCAATGATTTTTTAAAGTTATGTATGAGAAAGTTTCCATTATACTCGTAGTATTATACACTCACCACACATGTACTACATTGACCATTGAGTACTACACATAAATTATATTCAGTACTATCTCGTATTTAGAAACATTCTAAAGTGATGCCATTGACGCTCACGCACCCCTGGTATGTTGGAATGCGTCTCCTATCTACAAATGGTTTTCCTATCTTTTTGTTTGTATTGTTGTCATATTGTTTTTTACTTTTCTTGTACACAGGATTAATTTTATTGAATGCTTTTTGTGACGCATACGCAAGTAGTTTTAAAAGTTTCTTGAGTTTGTGCTTCTGATAGTTGCATACGATAATGCAAGCTGTATAACAAAAGTGCATTATGATTGTTCAGGATTGAAGTGAATTTATACATTAAACCTATTCTTAGAAATTCACCTTGACTTGTACATCTTTATTTCTCTGCGAGCAGTCACACTGCAAATGTAAGCAAAGACTTTCACCCATGTTACAGACAATTTTTATCTTTTCTTAAGTTCTCTTTCTCTTTCTATTATTTTCCAATATTTTAGTTTCACACGAGCCACTGCTCTGCGTAGCAGTACACATATATGCTAACAAATACATATCTTTTCGCGCACTGCTCTGCGAAGCAGCCTATTGAGTCAGTTTGCTTTCGGCGCGTGCAGTTAAAGCAACTCACAGTACTCGCTTGCGATATGTAAGGAGGCTCGAGACTCGACGCCTTGCATATACATATAGACCGCGTTTTCCAATCTGTAAAATAGTCTGTAAATAAATAGTTCCAACAGTTTTATTACATCACAGTCTTCCTCCATATTTTTGCTGGTTCTTCGTGTGCTTTCGGGTGCACGAAGAGCATCTATTCACATGCCTTACCCAGATCACTGTAATGAGCTTTTAAAGCTCAGCCACGCCAACCGCAATACAGTCCACTACAGTCAATATTCAACAATGATAGATGCTGCAATCCATTCAAACTGGATTTTTATGTGAAACAAAGAGCTTACGTAAACCATCATAAGCTGCAAAAAAAGTATTACCTTATGAAAGTAATACCCATTATCTGCATCGGACGTCCAAAGAGAATTGAGCTAATAAATAACAAAGATTTTCAGAATTTTGCTTCTCTGTCTGAAGGAAACAAAGTAATTTTATTTTTGTGGGTGTGTGTAATATGTAAATTACATTAATGTGTGATTTAATGCAAAACTAAAGACTTTTGATAAGGTTTAAAATAACATACATTTTCAATTGAAATAATTCAGTTAATCGGTGAATTTATACTTTTCTTAAAAGTAAAACAAGATTCAAAATAAGTTAAAAAATATGTGATGATTTGCTTCGTAATTAGTTTATTCATCCTACTAATAACAAGTATGATCAACAACATTATTAACAAAAAAAATGATTTGAAAGATACTTTGAAATGGTTGGTGAATATTTTTATGTTCTAGTATTTTTTACATTCAAACACTTTAAAAAAAATTTGCAAAAGTTTCAATTTAGGGACATTATGCAGTAGTAGGGCTCCACCTTGAAATGACTCCACGAACTATTTTTTCACTGTTGCAGGATTGTATAATGTAGAAATAAGAAGTTAAAAGAGGGGGAAGCATATTTTAAAGGGTATTATATATCATAATAATATTGTTTCACTATTAAATTATATATTACTTATGTGCGCATGTGCCAGGACGCAAACAGGGACTGATTTATGCACATATACTCACACTTTACAGCACTGACAACATCAGAGTCTGGTCAAGCCCTGCATGGTTTATGCAC